AATCTCCAACAGCTAGAAAATGGGAATATCACAACAACAAATCCTGGTACAATGTGATAGGATGCTATATCAAACACCCCAAATTATATATTGCCTTTCAAATCAGGAGGATGTCTCAAAGTGCTTCACACAGCTGACTATGAGCCCTTGCTGGAGATTTTGGGCAGGGGAGGAGGGAGCTGAGGGTGAGGGGAAATGTGACCACAAGAGCGGTTGAAAAGATGGGCTTTAATGCAGGCTTTAAACGTTTAAAGATTGTGAAGGAGGGGACAAGACCGAGCAACTCTGGGACGGAGTTTCAGAGAGTGGGGCAGAATGTCTCAAAGCTCACCCACTGATGGTGGGCAGATTGGGTGGGGTCATGAAGCTGGCAGTGTTCACTGAGCAGTGGGAGTGGCTGGAGCGGTGGAGTTGTAGGAGATCAGAGAAAGTGGGGTGAGGCTGAGAATTGAATTTGATATGCCGGGGTTTGGGGAGCCAGTGGAGCTGAGTGAGAATGGGGGAGATGGCCTGTGGAACCTGATGGGGGAGATGACATGGGCTGCAGAATTCTGGGGGGTCTGCAGTTTGTGTAGGAAAGAGTTTAACTTGCAAAGGATCATTGAACAGAGGAATGAGATCAAGTTCATAGCTGATATGTTTATCCTGTAGTGGGATAAATTGTAGTGCTCCTGAAACCAAATCTTCTCACTCAGTGGTCTCAGATCCAGGGTTCCAGCATGATTTGCCGTGGGTCAAACCCAATTTATACTGCTTGGACGGTGGTGAATTGCTTCTAAACTCACAGAAATTGATTACAAAACCTGCAGTATAAATCTACTCTTCAATATTTTCAAACTGTTGGTTTGTTTGAATATGAAATCATTAATTTTATCATTTTATAAATTTTATTCAGTGAATGTTATCAGGATTTGTGCTAAGCTAGCCATATGTAGTTCTTGTTTATTCAGCAAAGCAACAATTTGCAGCTCATCAGGAAGTAAGGACAAATAAAAAACTATTGATTGAATTTGTTACTATAAAAATATTATTAAGGCCTGCCAAAAGCTGAAATTAGCTGTCATTTAATTTGACTTGGATGTCAAGTTCTTCCTGTAATCGATGTAGATGCGGAAGAAGGCTTTTGATGTCTTTGGATCAATAACAATTTTAAACCAGCAAATGAGCTGTGTAATGGCTCCTTTGAGAACGCAGTTGATGAGGAATTTTGTCTGAAAGTGGATCAGAAAGTGATAGAAATAATTACTTAATTTAAGTCACTATGGCCTAAAATGATTTCTAATTCAGTAAATGTTACGCGAGCAGACTCTTTCTAAATGCACGTATGATCTCAGTAGTTTGAATTGCCATGAGGTAAAACATATTTTCCCAAGATTAATTTTGAGTTTTGATGTCTCATTTTCTATCCCACTCCCAGGTGAGTCCTTCTAGTCCTTCCATGAGAGAGTGCACATTCCATTCCAGACGCAGAGAAATTTCCAACTCTAATCGGCTTGAATGGAACTCTCACTCTGTTTGGGAAACTGTTCAGTATGGTGACGTGTGGGTTTCAAGTGTATTAGAGACCAGGCTGATCAACTCTCCTCCCAGGCCCTGTATGACCTGATGCTAATTTCTGTCTGAAAAAGCTGCTGCCAGGTTTATCTATCTCTGCAAGCAGCCTCAATACAACTCCTGGTTCAGTTTTTCAATGCTTGGTACAGGTGGGCTCTCCTTTAAGCCAATATCTTGTTCTTGGCTTGCATCATACGCTCTTGAGAAGGCATGTAACAGAGAGTACTACTCTGTGTGTGTATGTGTGTGAGGGGATGGGGGGCTGGGCGGAGAACATTATCAGATATTGTGAGATACACTCACACCTCCTAGAAAACAATATTGCAGAAACCTGGCAACAGATCTACAGCCTCTCCATTTGCCTAAAACCTGGTTAAAAAATGAGAAGATTCCATCCTACAAATCGTTTGTGAAGCACCTACTCCGAAATCTTAAATAAGTTTGTTGTAACCATAAGCTCTGTAAAGATTTTGTGAATAATACAAGACAGCGATTGCTTGAAGGATTTTGTCAGAAAGCCCTCTCATCAATACTCCACATTGATCTGCCGTCGCTCTCAAATGAACAATAACATTGTAATGTTATCACGCCCTTCATTAAGGGTGGTGTCTCAAAGCACTGAACAACAACCTGGTTTGATGCCGAACAAGACATGTTCAAAACATTTCTCTTTCACATGCTGATTGGCCTGCTGTGGGTTTCCAGCATTTTATGTGTTTTTTTGGCAAACTTTGTGCATTGACATTTTATTTTGTCGCCGTCCTGCCACGAGATGGCTCCCACACCCACATTTATTTGCAACAGTGAACAAACATGGTCACCAGCTGCCCACATTAGGACCATCCATGCGGCCCTGGGATATACTCTGCATCTGGGCCTTCTTTGTGTTGTTCAATAAATGAAAAGTAAAAAACAGCTTTTCACATTCTTTAAAGAAAAATTATCCAAATCTCTCCCCCCGGTCTTTCAACTTCTGAACTGAACAAGAACTTGCATTTATACAGCCATTCACACAGTGTCCCGGAGTGCTTGACAACAAGCCAGGGGGAGGGGAAGTGGGGAGGTGACCAGAAGCACGATCAAAAAGCAAGGTCTTTATGCAGATTTAAAAATGGGGAAGGAGGGGCAAGGCGGAGGGATTGATGGAGAGAGTTCCAGAGTTTGGGAGGGGAGTGGCTGACAGCACGGCCGACGATAATGGAGCAGAGGGGGTGAAGGACGAACAGGAGGCTGGAGCCGGCCGAGCAGAGGCAGCGGGTGGTAGAGTGGGGGGTGAGCAAATCGGATAGGTAGGGAGGTGCGAGGGCATGAAGGGCATGAGGGCACTGAACAATTCAAAGCAATGCCATTTTTTTCCCAGGTGTTCTGCATGAAAACCCAACAAGTAGTAGCTGAGGCAGAGGAGCTACATATTCTGTTCTTCCTCTTGGTAAAGCAGACCAAACGCAGATGTTTTTGTAAAGGCATATCTGCAATGCTCCAAAACACTATCCTGTGTGAAGGTCTGTATATAAATGAAAGTTGTTGTTGTTTTGTCTGTCAGTGGGGTATTAGATAATAATAATAATAATAATAACAATATTAATCCTTAATTTGATATCGCGCTTTTCACGTCTTCTAGATGTCCGAAAGCGCTTCACAGGATACACTGTAAAGTTAATTGACTATATCGGCGAAAGCGGCTGCCAATTGCGCACAGCAGTGTCCCACAAACAGTCGTAGATTGAAAATGAGCAATTTATTATTGTTTTGGTTTTTGGAGGGATTATTATTAGGCTCTGTGTGGAGTAAGGAAACTTGCCCAAGGTTTCGCCCTCTGCCTGGAATTGAACTCAGGTCTCTCACTTGCAAAGCGAGTGCTCTAACCACTGAGCTACAGGACTCCACAGTCCTGTATTACAATATTGAATTTCAATAGATATTGTAATTCAAGAGGAAAAGATCACATTTTCAGTGTTTGGATTTATAACAGGTCTTTATTTGAATCACTGAACGATAAGTCCAAATATTATAATTCAAAAGTTACATTCTGCATACATTTCATTGATGGCAACAATCCAGACATAGAAGCTGATTACTCAGACTGGAGTGCAGGCTGTCACTCAGATAAAAGCATGATTTAGTGCAGTGAGCTGAAACTAAAGATTGATGGAATAAGGAGGAAAGCTTTGTGTTCACGATATTTCCAAAATGGAATTCTAAAACTAGACATTTCATGGTTTATATTCATGTTCACACCAGATGTTTGCCCACAGAAAAGGAAAATGTTTGCAAAGTGGTTACTCGGTTGGGGCTGCAACTAATGTGCATCATTATGTAAAAACAGGGACTAATTTGCAGCATTTTTTACCAGAATTTCTCCATAGAGTAATCTGAATCATAAACATGTCACTCCGACCTGTGCAACCCTGCTCTGGAAATAAATTGCTTCGAGGTGGATTTGCAATAGATTGACAGGAATTCTAACGGGATTCTTAAGGAATTACAGTAAGAAATACCATAACGACAGCTTTAGAATCTTAAGATATATGTACGCATAGTAATTAGCTAACTTGCAGAATTACTGCAATGAATTACTCTATGTGAAAAGCACTGAGACCATAGGAAAAAACATCTAACATCTGTGATTCCAATCACCATTAAATATTAAACCCCAAAGCACAATAAATGTCATAAATTAAAATATTTATATAGTAATTAAAATACTACATTGCGTGTGCTTGTGTTGATTTATTTTCCTATGAAACAAGTGGGGAACAATTGCTAAACCAATGCTATTTACACACAAGTCCAACACTTTTTAGTTCCCTCTGCTTTCAAATTTTGCTTCACTTTCTCCATCAGAACATCTGCAAAATTGACTGCTGACCAAAATTGACCAAATAAAAATCATTTCTTAATCTTAAACAGAAAGTAATGTAATCGTACTAACCCTTGGTTCAGGCACACGGGAAATGGGTCTCAGTTTGTTTGTAAGTATTCCATCCTTGGCAGCTAATGCTTTTTATTCTCTGCCTATCAATAAATGTACTGACCTAAGCCACATGCACTTAATCCCTAGATAAGCAAACATTACAATGGTGGTAAATTTAACAGCAAATAGAGATCAAACCCAAAATTGTGCTGTAGTGTCTATATAATAATAATAATAATAATAATCCTTGCATTTGATATAGCGCTTTTCACGTCGGGAGGACGTCCCAAAGCGCTTCACAGAATAGACTGTAAAGTGAATTGACTGTATATTTGTGGGCGAACGCGGCAGCCAATTGCGCACAGCAATGTCCCACAAACAGTCAGGGATTGAAAATGACCAATTTATTATTGTTTTTGTTTTGGAGGGATTATTATTAGGCCGTGTGGAGTAAGGAAACTTGCCCAAGGTTTCGCCCTGCCTGGAATTGAACTCAGGTCTCTCACTTGCAAAGCGAGTGCTCTAACCACTGAGCTGCAGGACTCCAAAAGTATGAGACTGATCATCCAAACAAATATCTTTAAAATTAATAAAACACTGTTTGAATCATCATCTTGTCTGTTCAGGAAGCCACTCAATAGCTTTTAAATTGAAATACAATAATTATGGTTATCAATTTATTTGTTTCTGTTCAAACTAGAGTTACATCTTGCAGAACTTAATTCTTTCACACAGTTGGTGTACCAACATTTCATTGATTGAGTTACTGCGTATCAAACAGGTTTATAGAAGAGGTAATTCTTGAGGAACTTTGGCAGTGGTAAATCATTGATATAGTTTAATCTTGTCACACCCAGACATCTTCGAATGAGAAGCCGACAAGCACTTTGAAGTATCCTTGGATTTGCTGCAAAACACAATGTGAATCACTTAAATAAAAGATACAGGATATGTTGTGGTTTTGATGGAGAGGCATCTCTGATTACAATAAAAATAAAATAATAATCCTTCCATTTGATATAGTGCCTTTCATGTTGGGCGAATGTCTCAAAGTGCTTGACAAGATTTACCGTAAAGTGTAGAAGCTGGGTGTTTTGTAAGCGAACACGGCAGCCAATTTACGCACAGCAATGCCCCACAAACATCCATGAAATAAATTACAAATTTTATTTGGAAGATTGTTGGCCATGACACTGGGAGAAACTCCCTTCTCTTTTTTGATTGTACTATGGGATCTTTATGGTCAACAGGCAGAATGGATATCAGTTGAATTAGTTGAAAGGACAGCAACTCCAAAAATGCAGCACACCCCCCGCACTGAGCGTCAGCCTAGACTATGTGAATTCAGAGTTCTGGCAAAGGTTATAAACCCACAGGCTTCTGACTCAGAGGTGAGAGTGCAACCAACAGGGCAAGGCTGACTACAATATGTAATGGGTGATCTACAAACAGTGAGGTTGAAGTAGATTATGAGGCACAACAAGATATTTCTGGTAATCAAATTAGATACTTTTGTATATGCAATACTCGTAGACTCTTCCTGTGTGAAGGGCTCTATATAAATGCAAGTTGTTATTGCTGCATATTAGAATTTTATGTACTGTGTGTCACTGAGTTTTCTAACTGAAGACTATTCTTATGTAGCAGAAATGACTTCCCATGGGCAGTTGTGACATTAAAATCACCAGTTAAAGACATCATGCTGCAGCATTCATTAGTTTCAAATACACTTTCATGGTATAAATTTAATGTTACGGCTGACAACAATGTTTCCTTGATACGTAACACTATTAAAACTATCAGAGAGGAAACTGTTCATTGCAATGGAATGCTTTAATAGCATTGAGGAGGGCAAGCAAAATGATTGAGGGGATGGAGGGATTGGACTATGAGGAGTGATTAGATAAACTGGGCATGTTCACACTGGAGAAGAGCAAGTTGAGGGGCGATATGATTGCGGTCTGTCTTTAAGATTCTGAAGGGAATAGATAATGTAGACCGTGATAAGCTGTTTTATCTTATACTGAACAATATAATCAGAGGACATGGCCTGTGATTGAAAGGGGATAAATTCAGAACAAATTTGCAGAAACACTACTTCAGTGAGCAAGTAGTAAACTTTATGGAACAGGCTCCCTAGGGAGACAGTGGAAGCAGTAAATGCTGTTTGTTTTAAGAACAAATTAGATAAGTATCTGCTAGAAAATAATATCTTGGGACACATGTCAAGAGACTGCCAGGATAGTGGAAGGCAAACTAGATGGACCTTGGTCTTCTTTCGCCTAGCAAATTCTTATGTTCTTAAGATAAGGGCTGTGGAGCACCAACACACCCAATAATATATTCGGAAATTGAAGATAGGTGGGTTAATTCCCCAGAAGATTAATATTAAGATTCTCGTCATTACTGTCAAATGGCATGGCGGCCTGCCTTTGCAACCTTCTGTGATCTGACTTCCACAACTACTCCCACTGCTCTACCATCTTAGTAGGCCTGCTTCTTACTCCCCGCCGGCTCCCCCTCACCATCAGCAGGCAGGTTTTCAGTCACTTTGCTGCCATCCTCTGAACCTCTCCTGAAATCCCTCTGCCTCTCTGCTTTCAAATCCCAGTTGGAGATCTATCGCTTTGACCATCTACGCATAGCTGAGTTCAGGCTTATACTTAGTCTTTGGGGACATTCTCCCTAATTGGATGACACTGTATTTGTATAAATTGTTGTTGTATGTTGAAGATCAGTCAGTTTGACTCAATTTACTGGTATGGATCTTGCTTTAAAAAGAGGATTCTCACCAATAGGGCACATTAAAATAAAGGTGTTCAGTTCTAGAGCACTCTTTGTATTGTTGCTCATCACGAGGGTAAGAGATGTGATTATGGGATCACAATTTGATGCTATCACCACATTGCACATTTACCAATAGAGCTTGAAACAAAAGCACCAGCTATGCTTTTCATATAATGTTTTACAACAAAAATATCATGTCCTCCCACATCCACACACACGCAGACACATATACACACACCAGTTTGTTAAGTAAATCCTGAAAAATGCAAACGTACCTCTAGCCATTTGGAAGTAAAGTGCACAAGGATTATTCAAAATCAAATGGCTATTCCCAAGGGTTTCGTTGCAACTGAATAAACTCAAATCGGCTCCAAACTCCACCAACAACTTTGCAAATTCTTCCCTACAATTCATCTTCACTACTGCATCCAGAAGGCTTGTAGCAGAACTTGGTAGAGGACGCTATAAATGTAGTAATCAGAAATATTATTGGCCCATTTACCTTCAACACAGTAGGAGACCATTGAATCCAATGTATACACATATATAAATCCAATGCAATGTGCTAAACTGTAACATTTTAAAAACTTAGTGCAGGTCAAGAGGAACATTGTTTTCGCAGAAATTGCAGACCCCCATTACAAAAGAGATCAACACGCACACAAGTACTGAGCTGCCACATTCACCTTCAAAATACAGTCACTACACTTTATAGTAAGTCCTGTGAATTGCTTTGAGAAAAAAATGTCTGATTTCCGATTGTCAGGTCCCTGCTGACGTCACTTGTTGTGCACTACACAATACACAGGAAGTGATATTATCTGACAACTCAAATGTCAGCGATTTTTTAGTATGTGCTGGAAGCTGGGTGTACTCAGCCTCTGGTATAGAGTGGGTGCACAGTAAACCCACGTTCTAAGTGAACCTGTGCTAAACCAGGGTGAGTACTTGCGGGGCTAGTTCTAATGTTAGCGCCAGCTCTGATTCACTGGGCCATTAACATTGATGAATTTCAGAAATCGTAGAGTTCCATTTACCAAAATGAACTTTACTATCAAATTCTGCAAGGACTGTTAACCAGTTACATTATGATTAACATCATGAAGCATCTCTGTAACAAATAATAATAGTAAACCTTACATTTGATATAGCGTCTTATCAAGTCTTCGAGACATCTCAAAGTGCTTCACAGAATATACTGTAAAGTGAATTGACTGTATTTTGTGGGCAAAACGTACCAGCCAATTGTGCACAGCAGTGTCTCACAAACAATAGTGGATTCAGTAACCAAATCGTGTTTTTGAAGGAATTATTACCCCCGGAAAAGTGATCCGCTAATCGACTAACAACCAGGTTAACTGCAAATTAAAATGCTTTAAGGTTGGATGAGAAATTGATTTTGGTCACAGGACTTTAATGTTGATCTGGCAAGGGCTCAACACTGTTGTTCCATTAAAGTTAATAGATTTTTCCACCACTATCCTCATAAAAGGTCTTCAGTTTTATCCCCAAACAGCTGTGCGTCTTATTTTACAAAATTTGAATAGAAACTTCAAATTAATTTTCTAAATGAGATTCCTTGCAGCACAGCATATCTGTGCAGGCCAGACCCTACACTGCATGGATAGCCAGATATAAATATTGGAATTAATCAACATTTGCAACATATACCCAGAATTTACAAATTGAACTGCATAATAATGATGACAGATGCACATCTTGTTCCTTATAAGTTTTTCAAAGCAGTGCAAAAGAGCACTTGAGTTTCACACAATTTTAAACCTGAATATCTAATAAATAAAGCAAATAAAACTAGACTGACCTCTCCATAGAAACTCTGCAATCTGTTGCGTTCATCTAGTCGCTTGCAGTTGAAGTTTGGGTTTGCACCACTCTGGAGAAGCAGTTTGAAACAATCTAGTTTGTTGTATGAAACACTAATATACAGTGGGGTATTGATCAAGGTATTTGGGTACAACTTTGGAGACAAATGAACTGCAGAATTTATATCTGCTCCATGGTTGATCAGCTCTCTCATGATGTCCACTTCCCCATCCCGGGTAGCAAAAAACAAAGGAGTGCACCTATTGTGAGCACTCCCATTGGGTTTGGCAGCAGCCTGTAACAGAATTTGTATGCAGTTTAAGTTTCTATTCACTGCGGCAATGTAAAGAGGCGACTGTCCCCTGTCATCCACACAGTTTACATTTGCACCTTTGTGAATGAGAAACTTGATACAGTCCACATGTCCCCCTATTACAGCTAACAGTAGTGGTGCGCAAGGAATGGATCCTCCAGACCAGATCAAGTGTCTGTCAATGTTTGAGATCAGCCCACAATCATCAATTAAATGTTTCAATGTATCCACATCTCCTCTGAAGGCGGCCTCATGCAATGAGAGTGGGATGTCCTTGAAGATCTCTGAATTGGCAAACCAGGTCACCTGCTTCCTTTGCATTTTTGCAACAGATTGGAAGAGCTGGTATTCGTGTAGTAGTTTGTGACCTGCTCGTTCATTTGCTTTTTCATACTAAGTGTTGCGGAGCAGTGTTGAACATCCTAAAAATAAAAGAAAATATTGGTCTTCTCACTGGGTGAATTTTTTTTACAAACTTATCTGCATTAATAATAAAACATGAACCTGGAACAATCTCTCATTTCATTGTTCCATGGTCAACTGCAGTGGTGTGAAATGTTTACCACAAAGTCCGATTTGAGTCCTTTAAACTTTGGGTTCATTTTCCTTTGGCCTTCAGTGCAAAGTACTGTACTTATTTGACACTAAAGACATCAGCTGTTATCACATGTATCATACATAACTGCTCGTTTACAAACTCATAAAGCAGAGAAAAGCTCAGCTCTTTGTCACTTGTTACAGATTTTTCAATCCAATACAAGTTGCAGTGGCTGGTTTGCTGCCTCAAGGCTGTTGGCTTCATAATTGGCCAACAATTACAGCAGATCCATCAAACTTTGATCATACTCTATTTATAAGCAAATTCTCAAAAATAAACAAAGTGACAAAATACCGAAAAAAATCTGAAAACGATTTAACTAGAGGAATATAAACTCACTGTGAAATGTATCATGATTACTGTTAAGTGGATTGACTGTGTATTTTGTTGGCAAATCACAGCAGTCAGTTTTAATACTACAATGTCCCACAAAAAGCCATGGAGTGAGTGATCAATTTTATTTGGGAAATAATTGGCCAGGACACTGGGGAGAAACTCCCTTCTGTTTTCAGATAGTGCCATGGGATCTTTAACGTCCACCTGAACGGGAAGACGGGACCTGTTTAACGTCTCATCCGAAGGACGTCACTCGGACAATGCAACCCTCCACCCCAACACCCCAGTGCTGCACTGCACTGGAGTGTCAGCTTAGACTATGTGATTCCAAGTCCTGAAGTGGGGCTTGAACCCATAACCTTCCGACTCAGAGGCAAACGTGCTACAACTGAGCCAGGCTGACACACATATTGATTTGATCCGCGCCTGGGGAAAAACATGCTTAAAGGAGCGGTGAGGAACGAGCAAAACGCTGAGAAATAAATGAGTAATCTCAAATTAAAACCAGAAAACTAAGGAAGTCAGTGTTTACAGACCAGGAATGCCATGGTGTTCATATTAGTGTAAATTCACCCTCGCCATTTGAATGGCAGCAAAAGCCACCCACTGGCCAAGTGGGGATAGAGAGAGACAACAGGCCAGTCAACAGTGGGGGGTGAGGGCTGGACAGGGAGGAGAGCAGGAGCTCAGCGTCTGGCACCGGGTTCAGGACAACATTGGGATTCAGCTCAACAAACGTCATTAGTGTTTGGCTACGTGGCCGCTGTCTGTCTGTGTGTGTCTGTCTGTCTCTGTGTGTGTGTCTCTCTCTCTCTCTCTGTGTTTGTGTTTGTGTGTGTGTCTGTGTGTTTCTCTGTCTATGTGTGTGTCTCTGTGTGTGTGTCTCTCTGTGTGTGTGTGTATGTCTCTGTGTCTGTGTGTGTGTGTCTCTGTGTGTATGTGTCTGTGTCTCTGTGTGTGTGTCTCTGTGTGTGTCTGTGTCTGTGTGTGTTTCTGTGTGTGTCTCTGTGTGTGTGTGTGTGTCTGTGTGTGTGTCTGTGTGTGTGTGTCTGTGTGTTTCTGTGTGTGTCTCTGTGTGTGTTTGTGTCTGTGTGTCTGTGTGTGTGTCTGTGTCTCTGTGTGTGTCTGTCTCTGTGTGTGTGTGTGTCTGTGTCTCTGTGTGTGTCTGTGTGTGTCTCTGTGTGTGTGTGTCTGTCTCTGTGTGTGTGTGTGTGTCTGTCCCTGTGTCTCTGTGTGTGTCTGTGTGTGTGTGTGTGTCTGTGTGTCTGTTTGTGTCTGTGTCTCTGTGTGTGTCTGTGTGTGTGTGTCTGTGTATGTGTGTGTGTCTCTGTGTGTGTGTCTCTGTGTGTGTGTGTGTCTGTGTGTGTGTCTGTGTGTGTGTGTCTCTCTGTGTGTCTGTGTGTGTGTCTCTCTGTGTGTCTGTGTGTGTGTGTCTCTCTGTGTGTCTGTGTGTGTGTGTGTGTGTGTCTGTGTGTGTGTGTGTGTGTCTCTCTGTGTGTCTCTGTGTGTCTGTGTGTGTCTCTCTGTGTCTGTGTGTGTGTGTCTCTCTGTGTGTCTGTGTCCGTGTGTGTGTCTGTGTGTGTGTGTGTGTGTATGTCTGTGTGTCTCTGTGTGTCTCTCTGTGTCTGTGTGTGTGTGTCTCTCTGTGTGTCTGTGTCTCTCTGTGTGCCTGTGTCTGTGTGTGTCTGTGTGTGTCTCTCTGTGTGTCTGTGTGTGTGTCTGTGTGTGTGTATGTGTATGTCTGTGTGTCTCTCTGTGTCTCTGTGTGTCTGTGTGTGTGTCTCTGTCTGTGTGTGTGTGTCTCTGTGTGTGTGTGTGTATGTCTGTGTGTGTGTCTGTGTGTGTGTCTCTCTGTGTGTGTGTGTGTGTGTGTGTGTGTAGCAGCTCACCCTCTGCTCAGACTCAGGCACCAATTCCTGCAGCAAAACAAACCCCCAAAGGCCCTGTCCCCCCCCCCGGGCAGTGCCGGGAGACAGCGACATGATACCGCTCTGTCTAATCTGTTGTTATTGTTTATACGTTTGTATTTATATTGATATTAATACACAATAAATCACAGTCACTACAAACCTCACCCCAATACCGGGCAGCGAGTGTTGCCATGGAAACAGAGCTGGGCCTCCCCCCCCCCCCCCACCGCCTGCTGACAGCACTAACTGTCACAGCCCCACAGCCCCGCCCCCCACAGCCCCGCCGCCCCGCCCCCACATAGCCCCGCCCCCCACAGCCCCGTCCCCACAGCCCCGCCCCCCCACAGCCCCGTCCCCACAGCCCCGCCCCCCCACAGCCCCGCCCCCATAGCCCCGCCGCCCCGCCCCCACATAGCCCCGCCCCCCACAGCCCCGTCCCCACACGGCCCCGCAGCCCCGCCCCCACATAGCCCCGCCCCCATAGCCCCGCCCCCACATAACCCCGCCCCCCATAGCCCCGCCACCACAGCCCCGCCTCCACACGGCCCCGCAGCCCCGCCCCACATAGCCCCGCCCCCACATAGCCCCGCCCCCACAGCCCCGCCCCCACACGGCCCCGCCCCGCCCCCACCGCTGCTCCTCCCCCACTGCTGCCCTGCATGAAGCTGACGCACAAATGCAAGTTGTTGTTGTTAACTCAGTGTTTGTTTGCCCCGTTTTATATTTATTTACCTGTGAAAGTAAATCGCGTGCGGCAGATTTTCCATGAAATGCATTCCGTTAACAAACAAACCATTCAGCAACAGCTTTTGTATTTCAGGCAGTGGTTTGATCCTGACCGTGAGGATCAGTAAAGCTATTTCGAAGGAACATCACAAGATTGGTTCAGATGGAAAAGGTCCAATGGCTCATTTGACCTCCTCCTTCTCTAATACCCTTCCTGTCTTCTTCCCATCACAGCATCAAAACTGTATTGTTTTTTAAATGAATCGTTTGCCTAAATCCAGAATTCAACCACCCTCCCCGGCAACCTGTTCCAGTCATTAATTAACCTCTGGGTAAAAAAATATATTTTCTGCTGACTCTCCTGAAATTGTCTCTATGTCCTCTTGTTCTGTTGTCTTGGTGAATCCTATCGTTCTGGGTTTACTTTTTCAATTCCACTTAAAATGTTATGTGCTTCTCCAAGGCCCCTCTGAGACAAGCTCCAGCTTTGCTAATCATTTTTCATCGTCGTTCCTCTAACACGAGGGATCATCTTTGTGGCTCTCCTCTCTTAAGGTGGCCAGAATAGTTTGCCATAGTCTGGGTGTGGTCTGACCTGAGCACTTCACAGCTTGAGTATGACATCTGCAGATCTGAACTGATTTGACAATATAGCTGGCAAGTGGATTCAGAATTGGTTGAAGGGAAGAAGCAGAGGGTATTTAATTAGGGGAGGTAGGTCAAAAAATGGGGAAAGATATTAAGCGGAGGGCCTCAGAAGTTTGTACTCGAATCCCTCCTTTTCCTTGTTTAAGCTCTCCAAGACACCGTCTGGCATGAAGGGCGCTATATAAATGCAAGATGTTGTTGTTATAAGTTAATGAACTGGATTCGCAGAGCCAGTGTCAGTTAGTTTAATTTGCAAATTACACCAAGTTAGAGGAATCTATGAAACTGTGAAATCAGAGGAACACACAGCGAGTTGTTCAGATCTGGAATGCACTGCCTGAAAGGGTGGTGGAAGCAGATTCGATAACAACTCTCAAGAGAGGAGTGGATAGATATTTGGGGAGGACAAATTTGCAAGACTATGGGGAGAGAGCAGGGGAGTGGGATTGATTTGGATAGGATAGGTCTTTCAAAGAGCCAGCATGGGCATGATGGGCCGAATGGCCTCCTTCTGTGCTGTATAATTCTATGATTCTAAGTACCAAAGATTTTGCAAAGAGAGCCTCAATAGGGTAACACATAGGCTGATAACTTACCAATTAAGTTTAATAGAGATAATTGAAAGGTACTACAAATGATGCAAGAATTAGAAACACAAGGATGGTATAGAACAACAACAGCAAGATTACATTTGTATGGCGTCTTTCACATCGGGAGGACTTCCCAAGGCGCTGGACAGTGTACAACATTTCAGAACTTGTCAAGGGGGGAAGCTAAAAGAAATCTTGAAGGTTAAAACAATGTGAGCCAGCAATAAAATTCTGAATCCATTCCCATGTCTTGTCCTTGATCCTCACTGACCTCATTGAAGGAATCTTTCACAGCATTGTGGTACTTTGTGGAATGTTAGATAGTTTTCTTTAAGGAAATAACATGGGATAGAGTACATAGATATTTTGGGATATATGTGCATATGACCACCAAGAAGTGGAAGGCGAACTAGATGGACCCTGGTCTTTTTTCGTCTAGCATTTTTTATATTCTTACATTCTTATGTTCTTATGTAGGATGAACAGCTTACCCTGAGAGCCATTGCAAACCCAATAGGTTCAATGGCCTCCTTCTGCACTATAAATTTCTGATTCTCTGATTCTACATTATATAACTTCCCAGAACACAGCCTGATCTTTAACCATTCTCAGTGAGTGATTTAATATTTTTAATGAAACATTTTAATTATTCTAACTGTAACCTCAGTAAGTAAGTATTGATAATTGTCTTCTTTTGTACTGTGTGGTTTCTTTAAAATTGTACTGACAGAACTTTTTCATGTGTTTATATGCTAGTTTATGGCATTTCTTGATGGTATTACTGTTATTGAGGATTAGTGTGTTTGAAGGACAGCCAAGCTATTCTTAGAACGGCAATGAATATGAGAAATGACATTTTTCTGAGGCAAGAGATCCTATTACATATCAGTCTGAGTATTATACAGAAAATAACATTGACTGTGAGTATTTTACAAGGTTAAACACATTTAAGTTGATTCATAAATCTACATATATCTTGAGAGCTAAACATAATTTTAAAAGTCACACAAACCCATTGTGATAACTGTGAACTTATTTCCAACCATTTTTTATTTATTATAGCCACTTTTTAAAAAAATATTGGCGAATTGCTTATTGTCTTTTAGGTGTGTTATTGCCATTCCTTTATCAATTCATATTGCAGCAAGAAAAGGTTCACTTCAGATTTTACAAAGGATGCCATAAATTCATAGACCTATTCTGCTTCCCTCCACCATCTGTCAATGAGGTGCTGTGGAGTCCTATAGCTTCAGTGTTTACAGTACTCGCCTCGCAAGCAAGAGGACCTCGATTTGGCAATACATTGGGCAAGTTTCCTTTCTCCACACAAGCCTGTTTACCTAGCAGTCAGTAGGAACCCGGTTTTTAGTCGATTGGCAGATTGCTTTTCCGGGGATAATAATCCCTGAAAAAAAATTCGGTCACTCAATCCACGACTGTTTGTGGGATACTGCTGTGCACAATTGACTGCCGCGTTTCGCTGACAAATATACAGTCGATTCACTTTACGGTATACGTTGTGAAGCGCTTTGAGTCGTGGAATGCACAAGAGTGGAATATTTGGTGGGATTCATTAAAATGAATTTACATTAGCAGCAATAACATTACATACAGTATGTAATTTTAGGGTATGTTATTAACAATTTTTACATGTTTCAACATTTAAAAAATAATAATCTCAATGATATTTGATCTGCGACCTCTTGTTATGCACCATTTTATCCCTAATTACTAGATATGAATTCCTGCTAATGTGAAAATATGCCAGTCAGGCCAGGCTGATGAATTTCAACAGTTTAATAATAATAATAATAATAAAAATAATAATCCTTGCATTTGATATAACGCTTTTCACGTCTTCTAGACATCTCAAAGTGCTTCACAGAATAGATAGTAAAGTGAATTGATTATATATTTGTGGGTGAATTGCGGCAGCCAATTGCACAAAGCAGTGTCCCACAAACAGTCGTGGATTGAAATGACCAATTTTTTTTTTTTTTGAGGGTTTATTATCAGGCGTGTGGAGTAAGGAAACTTGCCCAAGGCTTCACCCTGCGAGGAATCAAACCCAGGTCTCTCGCTTGCAAAGCAAGTGCTCTATAGCCAATGCAATAATTCAACAGGGCTTGAAATTGAAATGTCACTAAAATACATAGTACCAGCACTAACAATAACCTCTTGTTAAAGCAACAGCTGCAAAATTCACAGCGAATGTTTCAATAGTGTAAAAATCCCACATATAGCTAATAGTAATCTGGCTATTATTTTCTTCTTGTTGGTAAATTTATTGACCCTTGATAGTAGCATGTACTTCATTTGTTGGTAAAATTGCCAGCAAGGAGATTCTCCACTGCTCAGCACTGAATATATAACATAAATAACACCATCGCTGTTATGTTGAGACATCACTGTTATATTTCTGTTTCAGTATTGATGTGTTTCATTATATTATACCCCTATATGTGGCAAATCTTTCCTGTAGTGAGGTACGATGGTGAAGCAGAATTAACATAATTAGAACATAAGAACATAAGAATTAGGAGCAGGAGTAGGACATTCGGCCCCTCGAGACTGCCTCGCCATTCGATAAGATCATGGCTGATCTTCTGACCTAACTCTAATTACCTGTCCTATCCCCATATCCCCTAATCCCTCTACTTTTTAAAAATCTATCAGTCTCAGCCTTGAAAATGTTCAAGGACTGAGCATCTACAGCCTTCTGGGGTAGTGAATTGAATTCACTACCCTCTGAGTGAAGAAATGTTTCCTGAACTCTGTTCTAAGACTGTGAGTCCTGGTTGTAGATTCTCCTACCAGGGGAAACAGTCCCTAATATAATATTGAAACAATCTGAACCTCTTCAAAAAGTGTTAACAGCAATGACTACTAAACTGCACAAAATCCTTCTTAAATGGACAATAACTTATAACTGGCAATTGGAATATGTTTTCCCACCCCCATATACCCCTCATATTGTTTTATTAACTTGGAGGTTTTTAAAATGCTTATTTGAAAATCCATTTGTAAAATATTTGCATGAAACCAAATAAAGTTTTACACGATTAGCCAGGCTGCTTTGTAGATTTCACAGGATTCTGGGATCCTAAGATTGGTTTGGATGAAGAAGGGCTTCATCCATCCAGAAAACCCACCCTACTGTTGCCCTTCACAGTATCACGCTGCTATTTAAGTGAGTCCAGCGTCCTGGTCTTTACCGCCTTTCCTGGCCAGTTGTTGATTACCCTCTGCATAAAGAA